AGGACCAGCAGTAATATCTGTATTAACATGTCAAGAGGTGTCCTTGTCCCTGCCTTGGGGTGGTAAGGTTTCTCTGGGTAATTGCTGCATTGATGCTGATCTATATTGAGCCACAAGTACAAATTGCGTAAAAATTTTGGACTGTGTTGACTTCTTCCAAAATGCCTCAGTTTTAAAATCTATTATCTCCTTTAAATGTATTGCAGTAGTTGCTTCTAGAGCCATCCAAAAATCTATTTTCAGAGCCTAATCTGGTTCAGGTCCCAAACCTGAATGTTCTTGAGAAAGAAATACTGACAGATGGACAGTTATCGTATTAGTGGAACTTTTCCATTGTCGTAAGTAACTTCCCATTTATCTACAAAGCTTAGAATAATTCTTAAAGACAACTGCAGTTATTAACAATGAACCAGTAGCTGCAAGTGGTTTTGGATTTCCTGGAAGTATAGGAATACAAAAGCGAGTTAGCAAAACACTGTGATGATTACACAATCAATTGTGGCTATGTTCTGAAAAAAGGTATTTTATTCAACTTTGGTCCTATGTTTGATGGCTTAGTGACATCTTTGCCCTGCTGCTTGTTTCCCATGATTCTTACACTGTGGGAGGAAAGTCCTGGGTCATCTTTCTTGTGGTGGCATCATTAAAAGTTACAGGGTTCACTGTAGACAACTGTTGGCAGAGGTTATGCATATCAGTGATTACTGAACAATGAGAAAAGTGTGTTGAACTCCTAAGAAAATTTTCTTAATACTCAAAAGATTAAGGGTGGTAGAAAGGATTATGTGTGCACCTTACAGTTTGAAAGTAAACTCTATTGCTAATAATAATGTATGTAGTTGATCAAAAGGGGAAATTATTTATTTTAATTGATGGAGAAAAGTGCAACATGCAAACCAACTCTTAACACTGTATAAAAGACTCTGAAATCTAGTTCCATTAGCTTTTTTTTAAATTTTAGACTCTTTCTTGGAGATATTGTTCAACCCTATTTGTTGATTACCATCTTAATAGGCTTATAACAACTAGTTTATGTGTTTCAAGGAACATTATTTCCCTTTTTTGGTTCTTTTGATAATGCAGCATATGTGAGGACTTTTTTCTGTTAAAAAAAAATATAAGTCACCTAAAGAAGTGATTTCAATAGAAAGCTTACAAATGTCCTGAAATATATTTAGCTATCCACTTATAAAATAAAATTTTAAAAAATAAACCAACAAAACCCCCAAAACACTCTACTCATTTTGCTCCTTCTCAGTTTCAGACTGACCAGGCTAACACTAATACTTGCCCTATCCAGTAACAGTGCGGATCAGAGACCAATTTTTAAACAATTCTGTGCCTGCCAAAGCAATGGGACTTGCATGCTTTTGGAAACAGCTATTAAAATATTGACATTGTCTTCAAAAGTTTCTGGATGCCTGTCCTATGAAAATACTACTAACCTATTTGATGGAGGCTGCCTACAATAACTCTTAAATAGGCTCAAGTGCTGCTGCATTACTTTGAAGAATAAGCACTTTGTTGTAAAACTAATCTTGTTATGAGACCTCATGTTGTGGAGGGAAAAGTGACTGGTTGTTTTTCATTCTTTAAACAGTTGTAGTACTCTGTTGGAATGTGCCTCTGTCATTCATTACAATGCATGCTAAAAATAAATTTTGCAAACAATGTAGAAAATAAACTTTCTAATGGGTGAAACCACTTTGATGTGAATGTAAAACCATTAAATAAGGAATGTGCAGTTAAGTTTTGTGGATCAAGCTTTATCAAATGGTTGTGGAGACCTAGTTTAAAAAAATCAGATTCGATAGCTTTTCTTCAAGGAAGCTTTATATTTGTGCAGTAAGCATGTGTAATTCCAAAACAGCTTACTGGCATCTCACATGCATGGGAAAGCTGGCATGAAGTAAGCAAGGGTGTGAATGTTTCTGGGTTAGGATGAAACGGGTTTGTATATGCCTGGTTTTCCATGTTAACTATACAGGCAGATTCAAATAAGCTTAGATGTAGATGCCTAAAGTTAAGTGGTTCTTTTAGTGGTTTAATTCAAGACACTCGTGGTTTTGAATGGAGTGAGCAATGTTACCCAGGCCTTAGTTCAACCTAGTAATGACTGGTGTTCTTTATATTACATGCTTGTTTCTTGTACAACAGACAAGGCATTCTTCATATTTTGAGAAATGCTAACATGTTTTAAACTGTACCTGGTAAATTCCTTTAAAGCAAGGCTTGATTCTGTGAAATTGTCTGGATGACTTAAATTATTGTGTGTGCATCTAAAATGCTAGAAACTTTGGTAACTTTCTTCCTATCTAGAACTGATTTAATCACATCTCTGTAAATGCTGACGCATTAATCAGTATTGGCCCATAATTCTGGAAGATGATTAAGAGTCTAATCTTTAACATGGGGCCGAAAGGAGCTATTTTCTCTGTCCTCCCATTGATAACATCCTGATGCCTCCCTTATGTTAGCACAAGCACTTTACGGTAAGCTGTTTTATCTTTCTAAATTAACATAATTGCTGATAGAGATAACTAACAGGAATGCTATGTATTTAAAAAGTCTCAGAAATTATTTTAAATAAGAGTGCTAAGTCAGTTCAGGAGTTAGGCTGTTACAACTGTGAATATGCACAGATAAAAATGATTGTGCATGAATATGTTGTCAGATTTTTCCCACAGGTGCTTTTTGAGCGATTTGCAGGAAGGATCACCTGTGTTTTCTTCCCTCTTACAGTGCTTCTTACCATGTGGTTTTTCCAAAGCTAACACTTACTTCATCCCAGCACGTAAACAGTGTTTGTTGTCTTCAACAGACTGGAAGTTGATGCACTGAGGTTAAAATCTACCCATTCATTTAACTTGAATGCTTATTTTAAATTACATGTGTGTTACATCAGTTAACATAAGAATTTAAAAAACAGTAAAAATTCTGGGGGTGTGTGCTCTGTTGTGAGCCACAGTTTAGGTACATCACAGCCTGGCAGAATCCATAAACGATGTGTCCTTGTGCAATACAAAAGCAAAGACTACAACCCATAAGAGACAGCCTCTTTAAATCACCTTCAAACTTACTTCTTCACAATCTTTTAATCTTATATTGAAATCTCCTTTCATTTTTGTGAGGCTGGTAGATTAAAAAAAAAAAAATTACTTCTGATAGTCATAACCTCATGAAAATGTAGACACATTTGAATATTGCAGATGGAGATTCTAAGACCAAAGCTGGCTTTCTGTTGGTGTTATTGATCTCTTAACTCTGTTCAGATGCAGGGTAACTGTTTTTAACTTGAATAAAGTAACATGAAGTCATTAAACCAGTAATGCAAGATCATATAACACCTATGTGGCAGACAGGCTCTGCTTCTTCCAGTGCCAGACATACTGTTCCTGACTAAATTCATCCTATTGGTATTAACAGCATAATTCTCTCCTCCTGCTCACAAAAAACACTTGCATGGGATTAGCTGTTCCACATCACAGTGGAAATCATGGAGGACTGATCCAGGCGGTCATTTTGCATTTAGTGTAATGTGGGTTATAAAGTAGTGATGGCTTTGTTGTCGCTTCCTGACATTAGGGCTTCATTACATGTTTCCAAGTGACCCAAAGAAGCCTCAAATTCTACTTGAGCAAATGACCAGAAAAGCATTTGGTAGAAAAAAAAAGGAAAAAAATAAATTATCTGATTTTAATTCACGTGCATAAACATTTTATATACTTGGAAAGGAACAGAGTGCTATTACTGCAAGGTTCGAAATAAATTTTCTTTCTTTTAGTAAGCTCTCAAGAGAGCACTTTCAGTCATGACTGTTAGTTTCCTTTGTTAAACCTGGCACTTCAGAGCTGAGTTGTTTCCAAAGAAAGCACAGCTGCAAGACACAGAAAGCAGTCGAGAGACATAACGGTGCTGAGGGGCAGAATAAAGCTCTTTACATCTCCCACATCAGAGTTCACCCTCTGAGCAATACTCCTAAGCCTGGGTGTCAGACAAAGCTGTTGCATCCCTTACAGACTGTGTGCTTAGCTCTTTCCCATTCCCTGTCATAAGAAATACATTGATTTTTTTGTGATGGAAGTTTAAAGCAATTGATGTACTGCTTGACAGCTGAAGTATAAATGCTGTCACAGCAAAAATTGTCCATTGCTATGATCTGTGTTATCATTGCAAGCAGTAGCTTCAGAGCATTTTTGTATGAACGTGGCATCGCACGTGGAGCTGTGTGTTTTCCATGGTTGAGCAGTTCTTTTAATGTTTTCAATCTGCTCTTAAAAGTGTTGACTAGGAACAGATCTGAACAATTGGAAAGAAAGTAATCTGCTCTTGATTTCAGGAATTGCCATATACAGAACTCAGAATCTATCCCCACTACTACAGTCTGGCCCAAAGTAAAATAGGAAATCTTAACATGTGACTTTACTGCACACTTAGGTAACTGTACAAAAAATGTGACATTTCATCTGTCCTTCCAGTAACAGCAGAATCTTTGGTTATTGAGTGATACCAATCTACAGAGCATCCCTTGTAAAAGTTACTGTCTCAGAACATGTATCTTCAACACCTGTATCGTCTACATGAAAACATCAGGTTTGGCAAGATAAATTTTGGTCAGAGGAAAAAAAGAATCAAATTGTTCAGGAGTTTCCCTGAAGCTGGGAAGTAATGTATATTGGGATCACATCATATGTAATAAAACCTCTACTATGGTAAAATCATCCTTATCTTAGTCAAGGTAGTCCTGTTGTGGGACCAACAGCATGAATGAGGCAAATAGTTCTGTGTTTAAAAAGAATTGCAATTCAAACCCTTTCATGTGAGGCATTTGACTTGACACTTGTATTAAGAACCTAGACCCTGTGTAGCTCCTGGAAAGAAGTTAAGTTGGGTACATCAGATTGTCAGCACATACATGACAGGCAGATTTTTAATGATCTGTTTAATAGTTTGACCAAAAAAAATGTTTTGACGTAATTTTTTTTTCATTTGGTTCTTTCCACAACAAGCACATTAAGAAAAATGAAATCTGAAACATTTATCGTCCTTTATATTTCATATGGTCAAGAATAAATAATTCTCTCCAGGTCTTGACTTGTAATAAACTTCCATTTTAAAGGTCTCACTCACCAAATTTTTAGAGTAATTCAAAGTTTGTGGATATATAGGCCAAGTTTAAACTGCTGATTTCAGACACTGTCTTTATATAAGTGTCTTCACTTAATCTTTCAGTCCTGGGCAGTCTGCACCACCCAGCTCCTCTGCTGAGGACAGAAGACAGCTGAAGTGGCTGCTCTGAATGCTTAACAAGGTCAGCGTTTATTTTCTAATACCTGTTACCACAACTTCCATCTGTTTTATTGTGGCATGATCCCATTTTAGTTTAGGTCTCTAAAGGACTAACTTGCACAAAATGTCAGTGGCTCTAATTCTTTGTTATTTCAGTAGTGGATTTTCAAATATGGCTACTTCTATTCTCTCACTATGTTTGCTGGAAGTTATTCCTTTAATACTTTCACCATTCATTCATCACTTTATTGCCTGTTTCACACCATGTAGCACAGTGATTAGAAAGCACCAAATAATTTCATTTTTTTAACACAGTGGCTTGCAGATTTTTATCACTTGTCACATTATGCTCAAATTAAGAACATACATTTTTAAGCTGCTTGTTTTCTCCTTTTATAGCATTTCAGAACAACTGTTTTATAGAAATTACTAAATAAGAAATTTAAGAAGCTCTTTCAAAGTGAAATAAAGGCTTCATTTTAAACTTGGTAGCATGAAGGTGAATAGCTGCACTTGCTATAGCACTGGCTCACATTTAATTCAACATGACCCTCTCTTCTCAGCCAGATATAAACTTTCCAATCCAGACTTCATGCTAGCCTAAACAAGTGAACTGTTGCAGCTTTTCTGCAGGATTACTTCAGCACTAACTGCAGCTGAGGGATGCAAGAGTTTAATTTGTCCTAAGGTGTTTAGACTAGTAATTTAATAGCTTCCTTTACAAAATTAAAAGGGGATAGAAACATACTCAAAATAGCATTCTGAATACTTGTGGCTTGACAGATCTTATGAAACCAGTATTATTGAAAATCTTAATATCACCATTAGGAGGCTTTCTCCTGTCCCCAAGAGTCCCAAGCCCTCCTACCCTCTCTCTGAAGCACAGCAGGCACTTCCCACAAGTGAGGCAGCAGAAGGTCTCTCATACACAAGTTGCTGCTCCACAAAGCTTTCCTTATTTACTACTGAGTGTTGAGGGGGCCTGAGAACACCAGGCTATCATGTCCCTTTTGTGACTGGAGAATCAAGAAATGGCAGAATGCAGGATCAGCACAGGACTTCTCTGTACCAGTACACTGAGGCAGTTACAGTTAAAAGAGATGGCTGTGCAGGCACAATGCTGGAACACAGCTTTGTCTAGCCCTGCAGGCTCTCTGAGCCTCTCCATTTAGTCCTGACACACAAAGAATATGCTCTGTTCACCTCTGCAATTCAGATGGGGCCCTCGACATTACCAGTCTGACAAAGCCAAGAGGTTACCCCAGCCTAACAGTCTGTCTCAGCAGTATGCACAAGCAATCCTTGTTCCTTTTTGAACAAAAATGTTGGGAGACCTATTTGTGATCCCAAATTTAAATTCTACCCTCAGAACGTACAATGATGCCCATCAGAATCGCTTGGCTGGTTCCATTCATGCTTATTCATTGAGGTGGCCGGGTGCCCATTCACATGGTACCAGACTATTTTCACTGTGTTGAATTGCCAAGAAGAACAGGTTTAGAAGAATAATCTGCACAGTGTTCAAGCTCCTGCTCTTCTGGAGAAAGCTTGTTTTTTCCACCACTTTATTAACACTACATATCTATTTAGTCTAAGAGCTCTTGACAAGTTACAGTTCTCAAAAAACATTGCTAGAAGTAACAGACTGACCTAAGTCACAGAAATGCTGCATTCCCCAGATAGCAAAAGTAATAATATTAGAGGATTTCAAAGAGACAATGACAAGCCTATCCTTCTTGTAAGCTCCCTACCTTCATTTCACAAGGCTTTTGTAAGCACTGGAATCATAAAAAGTAACCTACAATGCCTAAACAACAGGCTCCATCCCAAAAGGTGCAATGCAAATCCCCTCTCATATGGTAACAAAGAGCACCTCAAATACAGCTCCCAATAGATTCTCTGTCTACTTCAGAACTATGAACTTGACTGCAGATTCTAGGACTGGAGCTGAATGGATTTATGGGCACATTAGTTGCAAGTGTTTCTCAGCTGCAGAAACAGCAATGCTGCCTGACTGCACTGGGGCAGTGACAAACAAGGTTTTCTCCACAATACATTATGCAGGTAGGAAAAGGGTAAATCACTGACTTTGCAGTCAAGCTGTTGCACAGTTCTAAGCTTAACTGGCATGATTAGCTTTTGCACTTTTTTTCCCATACCCACTGTGAGTCTCGCTGCAAGGGGGAGAAGAAACTCCCCCACACTTATTCTTCGGTTATTACTCAAAAAGAAACCTTGACCATTACAGCCACCGACAATGGCTTTCCTGGACCTCCTCAGAAACCATTATGGCTTTCCTAAACTTTAATGAGGTCACACTCAAAAAGACATGCAGTTAGTTGTAAGCATACATGCTGTCAGCCCAGACAACAGAACTTCTGTTCAGAAAAATTTAAGTACAGCATTCCCAAACAGTACAGTTATAAATGCAGGCACTGCACCACATTTTATCTCACTGTAGAAAAGAGACCATTGTCAGATCAAGCAAACTCTGTACTCACTACACATGAAAAAAAAAACCAAGAAAAAAAAGTTACAAGATCAACTTTGTTATAGATGAATATTTACCAACAGTTTTTATTGGTCTCAGAAATGTACATACACACAGACTGTTTCCATATTGGCATACAATTTTCTACTTGCACAGAAGCTTGCTGAATAACAATGTGTTATTTTACCCATAATCATTCCTATAGGCTTTTTCTTGGATGCGTAACACCATTCTCCGAGCATAAAAATCCCTGTATTCCTCAGGTAGTTCTTCAAGTGTTTTCAAGGCCCTGTCCAAGATCTGTATAGCTCTAGAGGCTGCCATGGGATCTTTATTTCCGTAAGTGTCTGTCTTATCATAGGATTCAGCAGGAAGGTGCTTCCAGAAGACATTCAGTGCCACTCCAAATTCCTCAGAAATTACATTGTGGAACCACAAAGCTGCAGAAAGAAGAATGTCTAAAATAAAAACTACTATCCAAAACTTCCACATGACTCATAACAAGAACCATAATTGCCCAAACTAAATCTAGTTGGGGAAGAGCCTCAAGTACCATATTTTTTTGTTTATTTATAAATATTCATCCCTGAATATACTGCATTGTACCAAATTTAAGAAGTTCTTCAAGATGTTTACGTCAATCCATAACTTTACCTGAAATCAACAATTGCTGAAGTATAGAGCTACTCAAAGGTAAGCAAAGATAAGCATGTGTGGGATGAAGGTAAGACTTTGTCAGCAACCTGGAATGCATCTCACTGAAAAAGGATGCTTTTTGAGAAACGTGTGTAGTTATTATGGAGAAGTTATGAGCAGCCCCTCTTCCTAACCTGCTAACACAGCAACAGTGTGACATGCCATTATCAAGTGGAACCAAAAGTTTCTTTAGGAAGAGAAACAAATGGTAAGGTCAAAACTAAGTACAAGTCCAAGGCTAAGAAACTATTTTAAAATAACTTCCCAAAAACCTACTGCCTTTTTCTTTACTGACCTTTTTATGTTGCACAGATAATATAAAAGCGACAAAGTATCTGCCACAAGCTTATGAAGAGTTAAAATGAAATCAGAAACAAGTAAGAGTAGTTCAATAGGAATAATTCAAATGCCTTTCCCTGATTACCAGAATTTATCATCTCAGCCCAGGAAGCAGCTTTATGTTTTCTGCTTGTGCAGAAAAGTGATAAGGACTTGTGTTTCCATTCCCCAGAGAGGATTAGAAATTTCTAGAGGGTCCAGTATCTCTACCATCCGTAATTCTCACCAGATCACACACCTCACAGTGGCTGAAGTGCCAGAGCTACAGAAGAACAGAAATGATACTTTACTCAAATCTTGACAATGGAGAAACTCAGGTCACTGAAGTAATTTCAGATTTCACAAGGTGAGTTTATTGTATTAATCTACTAAGACACAAATTCAGAAGTACAGAGTTTAAACTTGAAGGACAGTAAGATTTGTAGGTAGGTATAATAATAGCTTTAATCAGAGTAATTGTACAGTGGGAAGTAGACAAGTTTTACCAACACTTTTCACAGAACACTTATAACACAGAAACATTTATAACATGCTTTAGTAACCTCTTACCATCTCTAGAAATGAAAAATTAGAAACGAGACTGTTTAGCAACATGCCACATTCAGGAACCATTTGTAACTTACCTGGAATAAATAACACATCTCCTGCTTCCAGAAAACATTGATAGCGCTTGGCTTTCACAAAAAGGGGATATTTTTCCATGTCTGGGTTATCCACATCTAGCACCTCTGATTTAGTACCTAGGAAAGTTTTCAGTGAATAAATATTCCTACTCTTCCAATAGTAACAAAGCATTATCACATTGCTAGAAATGGCCCTTCCTGAATCAAATTTAATACTGATTTATTGTTCTGTAAGTCTTCTAAAAAACAGAGAAACCTGATGGCAGTGTTGTCTACATTTGTCCTGTAACTGCAACCTTATTAACATTAAAAAACACTTCTCCTGACATTTAAAACACCATTTTGAGCCCAGACAGAACACTGTACTCCTCCAGTTAGCTGCTGAAAACAATCAGGCAAAGCTGCTGTTCTCAGCTTTGACTAATGCCAACAGGATTAGAGTTAAGGGAAAAATAATTACTTTTTTTATATCAAGTCCTATGTTAGTGATTATTTTCTACAGTGCAACACCTGTGAGCCAAAAGGCAACTGAGATCACCAAGCTCTGACCTAGATACCTATGACATGCATACCTGATAAATATAAATACGGTGCATCTCGAGGACTGTACAAAACAACTCGTTTTTTCCCCGTGACTTGGATTAAGAAGTTATCCATTACCTGGAATAAGCATCATAAGAGAGGTATAAGCCAAAAGTGAATATATAGGATTAAACTAATTAATTATTAGCTTAAAAGAGGGAATTATTAAAACCTTCCCATGTTAAGAATTGGCTACAAGAGCTTCCACATACAGTTCATTCAAAAAACTTAAGATTTATCCCCTTAGCTGCACATTCTCGACAAATAGTGTCTGGATACATGGTATTGCTTTCCAACTATCTTGTGTTTTTTTCTGAAATCAAGAATCAAGTTCTTCCATCTTAAAACACAAAGACATACCATACTTCAGACACATGAACCACCAAAATATAATACAAAATATATTTTGGATTCCTTTTCTCTTTCAGTGTTACCCTTACCTCATTTTTTGACTGACTTTCTGTTGATAAGGATCCTTTCTTCCTAATTATAAGGCAAAAACTATTTTTCTTATAAATAAATTTATTCAGAATTCACTGCACAATGTTATAAGAAAATCTTATTTGGAATCTATCGCATTGCAGCCACAAATCACTACAATCCTTGTACAACTGGCAATGTGTTGTACAATTGGATTTTATTCTAATATGGCCATTAGAATAAAAAATAAATGAATGTAATGTTGAAGACAAAAACGTTGAAAGTTACTGTGTTTCAGATTTTTAACTGAAACTCAAAAGCAGTAAAACCAAAAAAAGAACACAATAAATAAAACGTCATTTAATCTCACAAATATGGAATTAGACATAAACCCAGTTAAGATATTATGCCCATGCAATACATCTATTTAAATTTGCTGTACCACTGAATGTGATTCATTTCACTATTTCAAAATATGTGAAGTTTGTTATGATTCTCTGATCTTTGCCAGAGATTTGCATGTTATTATCTCAACTCTGTAATGCCATCTGCAATATTTTATGCTAAATCCATGTATTACCTACATCATAATGTGTCCATAACTGTAATCCAGCTGAGCTGATGCGGAAGACACTAGAGAAGAACTGTTCCTTCTCAAAATATTCTGGAATTTGAACATCTTTTGCCAAAACAGGAAACTGCTTCCTGATATCTGCAATATCCTGAAACAGAAAGGACATAACTCTTAGAGAATGGCACATGCACATTTAAATGAGGGAGCACTTCACTACCTTTTCCCATCATATGAACATGGGGCTGGAACTTCAGCGTTGGTGAACACCTGAACATAGTAATGCTCTTCAGCAGTGACTTGCTCAATGGCACGAACAAGAACAGCCAGAGAGCTGCTTTGAACTGCTAGAAATCACACTGAAGCAGCAAGAGATCAGCAGAAATCCTTTTATATTAGTTTACAACAAAAGCTAAAAAAAGGGAGGTTAGCCATGTATTCTTCAGTGATCAACTAAGTTCTCATATAACAGCAACTAGTTTAGACACTTAGATTTAAATATTCTGACCTAATCCAGTCAGGTTCACAAACTAAGTGACCCTAAGCAAGTTGTTTGTCTGTGTTACACACCCAGCAGATGACAATGGGCTTTAAAAAAATATTCCCAAACTGCAACTTTACAATATAGGAAGATCCGGGGAAGGTCTTTACACCTTCCAGCCTGCGCATTGGATTTTTTAGGTGAGACACAGTGTGCGCGGAACTGAGCCCACCCTTTAATCCTAAGGTTCATCTGCCGGGGCCAAGCGAGCTTGGACAGTGGCAGCGAGGTCCTTAGGACGTAGGTGGGTTGCCTTTAAGGGCTAACGAGCCCCACCTGCCCGGGAGTGGCCCTGACCGGGAATCGAACCCGGGTCTCTGCGGTGATAGCGCGGCGCCTTTACCACTAGACCACCAGGGGCTCTACAATATAGGAACTGTAATCTCAAACAACTCACCTTCCGAGCATCTTCACCCACTGATCGCAAATAGTACTTTTCATCCTGATGAGAACACAAAAAGAGAATTGTTTTGGTTTTCTTAGTAAGAAATGCAAACACTTAAACAAAGAGCCTGTATTTTCTCATTAATGCAGAGCTTCATCAAAATATGGTACAAATAAATGGCATCTACAAATTCGGCTGCTGTTATACTGCCTTTACTCTAGTGATCCCTGCTGTTCATCTCAAGAAATGGGAAAATACATTAACTGAGAGCAGAAGAATAAAAGGGGGAAGAGTTGTCAACTGCTTCAGCATTGCTGTTACTGAACAGCCTCAAAGCAAATGCAGATTATAATTTAAGTTCCTCAGAACACTGATGCAGGCAGCTATTTTAGCTGGTTTCAAAACTTACATCATTCTATGTAGCACAGAAGGTAAAAAGCATGTCTACATTCAAAACTGTTTGCTACCTGAAAAATCCCTAGCCTGAACACTGAGATGTAAAGATAGCCACACATTTGCTACTCACAAATCATGTCACAATAAATCTGGATTTGTATTTTGATAGCAGATGTAATCGAATTCTAAAATATCTTCATGACATTTTCTTGTGAAACACGCAAATGATACAGTTGTTATTTTAAAACAAGGTTTGATTTCTAAATTTTACACTGGAATTTTTACTCACGTATGCAACTTTTGTTAACAGAAACTGGCTGGCTGAATTTAACCACACCATGCACATACAAAACAACTTCTGAGAAAAACTGCTCACATTTTTTTCCCTTGCACCAAGCAGCAAAAAAGTTACATCTAAGATCAAGTGGTTTCCTGAAGTAAACTTTTAAATTACAATTCATCATTTTCCTTTCCATATACCAGCAAAATAACTGACAGAAGAAACTGTGACACCAAAGAAAATACCTGAGAAAGAAAGTACTCCTGGTGGTTGACTTCAGCTGCTCTTCGTACAAATACATCAAAAGGCAGAGTTCTGAAATATAAATATTTAAATTTATACCATGAATCAGTGTAACAGCTCATGGTCTAAATTCTTGGTTTATAATAAACTTCATATACCATTAAGACCATATAAAGTAAGACAAAAGATGGAATATGCTTCTTTTTACTTTTTTAACTTAACATGGTGACTAATCAGTGCTTGCAGCAGATATTTGGAGAGTTCTATTGAGACAGAAATCCCACACTGAGAAACTTCTCCACTTCAGTAAATTGTAAATATCCAAACAGAATCCTGTAACTGCTCAGGCTGGAAGGCACCTCTGGAGATCCTCCAGTCCAAACCCCTTGCCAAAACAGGATCAGCTATAGCAGCTTGCCCAGGACAGCATCCAGGGTGGTTTTGTGTATCTCAAAGGATGGACCTTCCATAAGCTCTCTAGGCAACTGCTTCATTTGTTCCATTGTTTGACCACCCTTGCAGTAAAAGATGGGGGAAGTGTGTTCAATAGGTTAACAGAATTTTCTGTATTTCAACTTGTGCCCATTGCCTCTTGTCCTGTCACCATGAACCAGGAGAAGAACAGAGCTCCATCTTTACTCCTTCCATCAACTATTCATACACTTTGGTAAGATCCCCTCTTGACCTTAGGAGTTCTGAATGGTTTGAGTCCCAGCACAAATTTCTTCCCAGTCAAATTAAGACTCAAACTGTGGCCAAAGCCTGGCAATACTTGCTTAGACTGTTTCTATAAGTGTGTAACTTTTAGGCTTGTTTACTGGACGTTTTCATAAATTTGCAGAAAAGTTCAGCATGAAGAAAACTACTGCAGGGAACATAAACATGTTTATATCTATACATTTTCTGCTATGAATTTGTGCATGAACACAGATAACTATCTTCATTTGTAGATCTATAAAATTTATTTCAGCTATCTGAAGTATGTGCTTCTCCAGCTAAGCAAAGTACAGCATTCTGTATATTTTCAAGTGTTCCTTTAACTTTTGCTGAACTCATCTTCAGAAGATTCAAAAGGAATCACTGGGCGTCAGAGCTGGTCCCTCTGAGGTCAATACAAGTGTTACATATTTATTGAGATAATGGGAGCTTTTCATACAGATTACAGATTTTGGTATCAGTTGACAGCTGAATGGCAAACCAAGCATAAGCAGTAATAGGACATGTATTCACTGTTATGAATATTATGAGTTCAGTGTTATGTTTACTCAGCTCAGCATCTCACATTAGGTGTCACTGGATAATAAATTAGTGATTATAAATATCACTTTTCAGAACAACCTCCAAGTACCCAGGGTTAAGCAGAAACTACCCTCAAGCAAAATTTTTCTTGGTCCTGTTATCCCTTCCACCAGAATGTGAACCTGCATCAGACAGAACTTAGACCAATTCTCTAAACACTTTAGGCTTGTTTGTAATAGGCAAATACAACCACTGGAGTCAACAGAAAACCAAACAAGAACCAATGCTCTGACTTCAGTTAGGCTGTTGTATCATGCCCATTTACATTTGCTACTGCAGAAAGTGAGAGCACAGCTCCACGACAGCTTAAACTGGTGCATGCTGGTGCTGCCACAGCTCTGTCCTTGCTGTCTACCCTTATCACCCCATCTCCTCCCCTACAGTAGCACTGGCACTCATCTGACCTCACAGTGAACCTGCTTGCAAAGCTAAAACAGCAGAAAAACATTCAGACTTCTGCAGCACATCACGACCTGGCTGAATGAGTTCCAGAACCAACACAAAGACAGGGGTAGGAGGATGCAACTTACAACAGGACTGCAGTACTACTCACATGCATCAGTTTAAACTCATGGAACTGCATGTTAAGTCCTCAGTGTTTCTATTGTTTTGGTACTACTTATTCTCCCTTCAGATTAGAATGAGGGGCTTGGGCTTGCTACTGAAAGGGTTAAAGCTTCCTGAATTTCAAGGGAAGTAGGTGGAAGTCCTGACTGTTCTGAAGCACCATCAGAGACTCCATATGGCTGTCTACAAACCTGCTAAAACTGGCACACCAGGTCAACTTGATGTGAACTCACAATAAGAGAGATTATTTAAAAAAACCCAACAAAACAAAATAGAGCAGGGAAAATAAAATATGGAGATAAGGCAAAGTCATTCAAGTACAACCTAACCTTAAAGATTCATTATGCAGTGAACAGAATGTACCATAATTGTTGTGTGCTTTTTCCCCTTGAACAGCAGGCTCCACTCAAAGACTTGTAGCTTGTTTACATTTACACTGTACACTTCCACCTGCTTAAAAGTTTAACAGACTGAACACATACTGTTCCCACCTGGGGAAAACAAACTACAGCTAAAATCAAGGCATTTGCCCTTGGAAAACAAGAGGAACCTTCAGAGGAGAGCAAGGTTTTTCATGACCTACATCAAGATTAAAGTGCTGGTGAAACACGCAGTATCCAGTAGTTCTAATACTCTGAGAACTGCACATCCTAACTTTGAAAGGAGCTTGGTTTTAATTAGCTACGCCCCTCCTAGAGTGGAATACCCTGCCTGCCACACACCAGCATTCAAAGAGGTTCAGACACATGGTGAGGCAGAAACTACCACTATTCAGTAACATTGAAAACAGACCATCTAAGTAGAACAAAACAGTATATCATCCAGTATCAAAGGTGTCTTGGTTTGCTTTTCTCATTAACGGCAGCAACTGCCAGGCTCCAATTTCTAAGAGAAGTGCTCTGTCAAAATACCTTTATAACACTTCTCCATGACATCTCTTTTAAGGTGCTGTTTGGCCCCTCATTTCACCCTCATAGTGTTAAATTCAGGGCATAAAGATATTTGTAGAATGAATAAAAGAGGGAGAAATCAAGGACAACACTTTGATACTTAATTTAATGTTTTCACTGTCTTCGTATTCTCACCCTCAGCTTCAAGTAGATGGACTGTATGTCTGCAAGTTACAAGCATATGCCTTTAAAATACAAGAGGCCTTGGAGTGAAGTACCTATACACAAAGTTCTTACTGAGGAAATCCATCTGTGGCACTGTGGAAACATGAATCTTTACTTCTTTAGATCCTTCAGCTTGGCTCAAGTAATCTACTGTCCATTTGGTTGTGCAAGGGCCCAGTTCCATTCCTGTGAGAACCACTGGCTTTCTCTAAGGAACAAAACAAAAAGAAATGTCAATGGTGAAACGATCGTAGCATCCAGTGGAAAAAGTTCAGAATTAATTTTTAAAGTTACATCCATGCAAACAAGTCAGTTGAATGCCAGGACCCACTACTCAAAGTCACAGCTTACCTGTTCACAAGCAATGTGAATCAGAACGATGCAGTAGGACTGTGTCTCTCTTAGCTAAACCCTCTTTCCTACTGGGGTAAGGACAATCTTAACCCGCACTTTGTGCTGGGTTCAATGAGGAATTTAACCAGACTAAGAAACAGATTTAATCATTCTAGCCAGAGCTTAGCAGAAAAGTTGCAAAAGACCACAGAGTTAAGGTGCAGACTGACTGTGTGTTGTGGTGGTGCTCTGTGTTCTCATGAGACAAGCTCCTGCCACCTCTGTACAGGTTCCTTGCTGCTGACAACCACGACCAGGTTTGATCCGGGGCACACAAAATTAGCAGAAAGACACTTTTGCTTTGAATTGGGACCTCGGGAGGGGAAAAAAAATGGAACAGAGATGACAAAGCAACAAAACCAGCGCTCACACTTTTTTAAACTACTGCCAAAGGAAATGGACCCACAGCGATCAAACGTCGGAGCTTGCCAGCTCCTTGCTCCTAAACTCCCCCTCAACTCGCTGGATCACGGCACCTCCCGGGAGCACAGAAACCCAAACCCTGCAGTTTGCCTGGATCAGCTGTGCCCGTAGGGAATCACCGGACACCTCCTGCCTTGCCCGGTGTCCCCGGGCAGCCCCAACCCGCTCCGTACCCGCGGGTAGATGTCCCGCAGGAACCGCTCCCGCGTCACCCCGTCCAGCCGCTCCAGCTCCACCGACGGCTGCTCCCGCCGCTCCATGGCCGGCTGCTCCCGCCGCTCCAGCTCCATCTCCTCCAGCTCCCGCCGCTCCATGGCCGGCTGCTCCCGCCGCTCCAGCTCCAGCTCCTCCAGCTCCCGCCGCTGCCGGGGCCGCCGGGTGACCTGCGTCCGTCCCTCCGCTTCCCCCGGAACGCAGAGCCCGCGCAGGAGCGTTCCCGGCCTCTCCCTCTGGGAAAGGGATGGGAGCCCGCGGGTCACAGAACCACGGGACTGCCCGGGTTGGAAGGGACCTTTGGAGATCATTTAGTCCAACGCCCTTGCCAAGGCAGGGTCACCCGGAGCAGGTGGCACAGCAACGCGTCCAGGTGGGTTTTGAATGTCTCCAGACGGGGAGACTCCACAACCTCCCTGGGCGGCCTGTCCCAGTTCTCTGCCACCCTCAGCGTAAGGAAGTTCTTCCTCATGCTGAGGCGAAACTTCTTGTGTGTTAGTTTGTGTTTATGACCATTGCTCCTTCACTGGGCACTATCCTCTGGGCACCCGCCTTTGAGATATTTATATGCATTAATGAATCCCCTCTCAGTCTTCTTTAGACTAAACAAGCCCAGCTCACGCATTCTCTCTTCATATGAGAGATGTTCCAGACCCCTCATCGTCTTTGTGGCCTGCGCTCAAATTATGTCCTTGTCACAGAATCACAGAATCATAGAATTAACTGGATTGCAAGAGACCTCCGAGATCATCAAGTCCCTCTGATACTGAGGAGCCCAGGACTGGACACCGCACTCCAGCCGTGGCCTGGCTAGTGCCGAGCGGAGGGGACGCGAGTGCCCCGCGGTGACGGGGTGGCCGCTCCCCCGCCCCGGGGGCCGCCGTTGGCCTCGGGAGGGCCCCTCGCGGCGCCGGAACCGGCGGGCTGTGTTTCCGCGGGGCGGGGCAGGCCGAGGATGGCGCTGCGCTGCGCGGCCCCGGGCCGTGTCCGCTGGCTGGCGCGGGCACTGGCGGGCCCCGCTCGGCTCCTGCCGCCGCCCGCCGCCACCACGGCCCCGCCGGGGCCCGCCCGGCTCCCCCCGGCCCGGCCCAGCGCCCGGTTCGCCAGCACCGCCGGGACCGGCCCCGAGGGCCCGCAGCGGCGCGTGGTGGTGGTGAGGATCACCAGCCCCTTCGCCTGGCTCCGCACCCGCTTCTACTACCTGCTCATCCGCCTCTACTTCGATCAGGAGTTCAGCATCGAGGAGTTCACGCGGGGGGCCAAGCAGGTGAGCGGGAGGGCAGAGCAGCCGGCCTGAGGGGAAGGGACCCCCCGAGCCACCCCGGGGGATGGCGGTGCCCGCGTTTAGTTTCGTGGAATCACAGAATCCATTAGGTTGGGAAAGACCTCTGAGATCATCACAGAATCACAGAATGGGTCAGGGTGGAAGGGACCACAGTGGGTCATCTGGTCCAGTCTCCCTCCTCTTGCAGGGTCGTACCAGAGCACATTGCTCAGAATTGCGTCCAGACGGTCCTTGAATATTCCCAGTGAGGGAGACTCCACAACCCCTCTTGGGAGCCTGTTCCAGTGCTCAGTCACCTGCACTGTAAAGAAATTCTTCCTCATGTTCAGGTGGAACTTCTGGGTGTCAGTTTCTGCCCGTTGCCTCATGTGCTATTGCTCGGCACCAGCAAGAAGAGCCTGGTGGCATCCTCTTGGCACCCCCCTTCAGATATTTATACACAGTAATGAGGTCCCCTCTCAGTCATCTCTTCTCGAGGCTGAACAGGCCCAGTTCCATCAGCCTTTCCTCGTAAGAAAGGCTCCGGTCCCTCAGTCATCCTTCCTACTGGACCCACTCCAGATGCTCCATGTCTCTCCTGTACGTTGAATCCAACCTAGCATTACTTGTTCATGTATATACTTTTTTTTTGGTAGGCCTTTTCCGTTGTTTCAAAGCTGCTGTCTCAGCGTAAACTTGAGCTGCTGGATGAACTTGTTTCACCAGAGGTAAGTGCTATGCATCTCCTGTTCTAGCAGCTGATTTTCCATTGTGAAATAACATGCATTTGACCTGTCATTATCTATAAGTACTGCCAATGGTTTAATTCAGGAAAAACAACATATCATGGAACAGACCAATTGTTTGTCCTGCAGCTTTTTTTGTGTTTAACTTCAAGGCATGAAACTTAATTTAAATTTACTGAATTTAAGGTACATTTTGGCCATTGAGCATAAGGACCAAATGTCAAGAAGGTTGCAGGTGTACCAGGAAGGATTGAAAGGCAGCGGGTTCTGAATGGCAGGTGGAATTGTGAGTCTCCAGGTGTAGGCAGGCAGCTGAAGCTGACTCAGTCTGTGCACCAGAATTCAGATGAAGAAAGGAAGGGGTTTGTGCCCATCCCTGCTGCACTGATGTATTCCCCCCGCCCCCCCGCAGATCATCCAGCTGATTACTGCTTTGGGCTGACAGGCCTCAGTCTTGTGTCATGGTGTTAGGGATATGACTGACCTGGTTAAATATCAGTGCTGTGTTTTCTGTGGTTTTATGAATTTTTAATTGCTGAAGCTGTCTTGGCCTTCCCAGGGCATGGAGGTGGCAGATGCATCAGAGTGAAGTGGAGGAGATACTCCAGGTCTCTGTCTGCCGTGTTACAGGATGTCAGCCTGGCCTGCCCTATTGCCACCCATGTCTTTGCAGCCAAAGCTCTGGTGCTGTTCTAGTGCATCCCCTCTGAACAATCTTGCCTCCTCTCTCTGAACAGAGATAGCAATAAAATGTGAGTTTGTTTCTTGCTGTTGTTTTCAAAGAGCATCTCCTCTGCTTCCTCTTGAAAACTCCCTGTGGTCATCTTAACATTTTCAGGTTTACCTTAGTCCAGAGACCTCATGTAACCTGGTGGTGTAGTAGATGAGGCTGTGATACTTCATTGTTTCTTTGACCAGTGAATTTTGTACCTGAAAAATGTACTAGAAATCAGTACCTTCTAGCGAGGATTGCCTCTTGCTTCTGTGTAACCTCTATATTTGTTTGTTGTTTAGAAATGGCGAATCAAGTTAGGGTAAAAACTGAGTATTATTGAAAAATACAGGCTGCACAGCTTCGTCGTTTCTTGTGACTGGACTTTCTAATGTGTGTTTGAGGTGATGCCTCTGTGCAGTTTGTGCACCACACCATTTTTGTACTTAGCACAGCAGTGTAGGTTGTAGGACACTCAGATACTGTGAATGTGAGATGGAACCTAATTCCCAGAGCAATGATTTTGCAGTCTTTTATGTTTTACAAGCGTTTAAACTTTTTTTGAAGGCAATGTGGATCACAAAATGGCAAAGATAAACTTAATGGTAATGAAACTGATTTTCAAAGAAATTTTTGAGAGATAACTAAGAAGTAATTGAATCAAAAGCTTAGGAACCTGCACATAGCAAGAAATCAGCAGTGAGAAGGCAGAGTGTATGACTGTGGAAGCTTAACTGGTGTTTTCTGGGGTTATGTGCCTTGCAGCTGCTGTTTTGACAGTACCTTTGCTAAGCATTTTTTAAGATATTTGATTTCCAATAGTTTTGAGCAGTAAATGGATCTTCTTGAATGCTGCTGAATGAGGGTTTAGGAGTGCCCAGTGCTTTTCAGTTCCACTGTTGTATATGTTGCACAAATGTTTTAGCAATACAGCTCATTTTATTAACTGCAGTAGGAAAAGATTGTTACTTCAATTTCCTAATGAAAAACTAAGTGACAGTTTTTCTGAATTTAGGTACTTCAGGTGCTGAAGGAAAAGATTTCTTTGCTCCCTGACAGCCACAGGGATGCTTTAGCAGCTGACATTGATTCAATCATGTACACAACAGAAGGAGATGTTCGCATTTACTATGATGATGATGGTATGTTTAGAATCCTAAAACATTTCAGCAGTGAGCAGTTTTATTTCCTGGTTTTGCCACTAAGCAGGTGTTTTCCTTACAGATATGTTTTTAAGTACTGTTTCTCTCTCCTTGTTTTTCTGTTTGTAGCTCATCTGTATGTAATTTCTTGATTTCCTTTTAAACCAGAAACAAAGTTTATTGTTAATATGTCATGGTATGGTTTTGACTTCTATTCAGGTTTTGCTTATTCCTATTCTTTTGTACAGAATTTTATGTTATTAGTCCTCAACCACTCAAAACCAATTATTCTACTATATGAAAGCTGTTTGCTTCAACAAAGAAAATAGGTTCTCCAAGAAAATAGTGAAGGCTGGATAATGTAATAAATTTTGCTGTTCTAGTCTTTTTTCATATAGTGTATATTGTTCTAGGACTCCCTGACTGCTTTTATTAAGCTACTGATGAGCTCATACAAGTTTTTCTTTTGGTTGGATACCAACATTAAGTGTTCTGTTCACTGTCAGACACAGTTGAGATTATTTGCATTCTAACCATGGGTCTTCCATTGAGCATTTCGAGTTGAAATAAAAAGTCAGGCCAACTGGGTTTTTTTTTTTCCTGATTTGGGAGATAGGCTTTATTTTTTCCTCTTAGGTTGTTCCTGAATTTGAACCACTCTGTGTACTTCTGTCAGTATCAGTAGTTAGCTTTGGACCTTGTGGGAACCAGCTTTTTTTCATACAGTTTCATAATATACAATGTCACACCACACTCATGCTAAAATACATGCTTTTCAACAGAGTATTTTTATTGTTGCCAAACAGCATGAATAGGGCTCTAAATACTTTTTCACTCATTATTCTATCTTGTATTCTTTATGGCTGAAGTCAGCTGTCCTTTCCAGAGTCTCACTAGAATATATGCTGGGTAGCAAATAGGAATATTTGACCAATGAGAAACATGAGGTCTAACTCGTGCTTTGATTTATTTCCAACAGGAAGAAAGTTTGTAAGCATCCTGATGTGTTTCTGGTATCTGAATGGTGCTAATCTACCTGATGAAGTACCAGGTGGAGCCAAAGTTTTTCAGATTGTGTTTGGAGATGAAAGCACAAAAGAAAAAAAACATCTTTTAACAGCAAACTACGAGTAAGTTTACTTGTCCCTTTTTTGTCCCACGTACTTGTGCTGGCTGTGTGGTAAGCAGTTGTGGAACTGTAAGCATTCACACTGTACCAGTGGAGAACCTGGTCTGTTTTAATTTACCTTGATTCTAAAGTAAGTTCATTCTCATCCAGCTTTCCAGTTTTGATTTTAGGGCCAAATTTTTTAAATACCCCTCGACTGTGTTACTACCTTGTTACTGAGCTGACATTAATGGGAACTCTTTCTCTATCAGGAAGAGATGTATTTGGAGCATTGAGTGAGGTTTCTGATCCTTTCCTATACTGCTCTGCAGCTTTCAGGAAATAGGCCAGTGCTTGTTTCGCATTTCTTGTAGCACAGCAGCAATGCAGTCAAGCCAAGCAGTGAAGTGTAGTGCTGTCGACTTGTCACTTCCCCACAGAAGTCAGAATTGCAATTAGCTGAAAAAGTAGCTCATGAAAGAGGAAATTATTTAGCCAAATGCTTTCTGCAGAAAGGCAGAACAAAGGAAGCATCACCTGGTGTTCAAATAATTCATGCCACTGGTTCAAGCCTTCAAAGCACACATAAGGTAGATGGATTTTTCACAGGAATGCTTGTAAGTAATGTCTGTGTTTGTGTACTGATGTTGGAGCAGTACAGAAAATATGTGCACAGTTGGCAAAATATCCTGAAATAAGATTCTCAGAAGCTGGGAGAAACGACGATTTTAGTGTGAGAAATGCAATATGGTCAATGATTTACTCCCACCTTTGAAACTGAAAGTATGGGGTCTACTTGATGAGGAGCTCTGAAGCAAAGGTAACACTCATGAGGACACCAGTGCTTTTTGCCTGAATGGATTTTGTGAATCCATCTCGTAGCTGAATTCAGCGTCTTCCTTAGAGTTAGAGGCTTCTAAGGTTCCATTAACCTTAAGAGCCTTAAGCCTAAATATCTTAAGCCTAAATATCTTCCCAATCCCTAGCAGAGAGATCTTTGCAAGTACGTGTTCCTTAACCTAAACACAAACGGGCAAAGACACTACAGGCCTTGGAAGCCCAGTGTTAAGTGTTTGGGTGTCTGAAGAAGACAGTTTGCAGGAGTGGATTTGCATGTAATTGCAAAGCAGTGATGTTATACTGCTCTTGTCCATGATAAGCAGGTTATTTAGGAGCATGAATATTCAGCTTGAAGCTTAGGCTTATCTTTAGATGACAAGCAGTCAAAGCTGACATGCTCAGAGAACAAGTCATTAATGACTATAAAAGGCAGAAGATGACTTTAAAAATAGGAGTGGATGTTTTCATTTTCTTGTTGACAACTGTGGAGTTTTCTTTCAGGGAGATTTAGTGCTACAGTTTACTTGATCTTTGATGTAGTTCTCAAAATACATTACTTTTTAGAGTATAGTTCAGTAAAAATGAGAATTTTCAAGTAGCCTGTGTAGCGTGTGATTTCCCTTCTCAATGCAATTACCGTCCCATTAAATGAAACCCTTTACTGACAGGCGACAGACGAAGATCTGTCACAAAGCTTCATTCATAGTTACTGCTGGGAAAACCCTTGACATCTGGGTCTCTACTGTGGCTGACTGATCCTTTCTGTGGGATCTGAACCAAAACACTCTGAAGTCAGTGATTTTGTTTCTTACCATAGAAATAATTTTAATCTTCCATTTTGGGGCGTAAGTATAGAATATAAGTAGCTTTTACAGAAATAACTCTGAAGTAAAATATTTTCTAATGATTTCTTGTTGTATTAGTAGCTCTGTAAGATAAAGTAAGTTTTAACAGCCCTTCACTCACTATCTTTCCTTTTCCAGGTTCCAAAGAGAATTTACAGAAGGAGCAAAACCAGACTGGACAATTACACGGATTGAACATCCAAGGCTATTAGAATAAATGCCTTCTACAGCCTTTTTATGTACCATTGTAAATGTTCTAATGTAACAAATACCAGGAGTTTTTGGATCTCTTTTTTTTTTTTCCTTCTTGCCCTTTCCTCCAAAAAAGAGGTGAATTTTGTATGTTTGATTCTCAAAAATTGTTTTTGAAACATTCACTGTGCTGCACTATTCCAATAAAGCCTTTTCTCTGGAACAGGCTAGTACAAATTTAATTGGTTCCAATGCTCATCCAAGGCATTTAGGCAGAGAAGCTTCACCCTGGCAGGTGTTATGGGTATGTTGACTTACATTCTGAGAAGAGATGGTACTGTTTGAAGATAAACAACACTTTAATGGCTGATGGCCCTTCTGAGTTACTTTCCTATGTTTCTTTTTTTCCCCTAGGGACTGTACAATATATAACTGCACAATATGCAAGATGAAATAGAGGTAGATGGACTTCTTAGATTGTCTAGCCTCAGCAGTTCATTTTGAGGTAATCTTGCTTTTGAATATGTTTGAGATTAAGAAAGTTAGAGCCATTATCAGTATTTGCTACAGGATTGGTGTAAGAAAAAAGCTTTTAGCATTGCACTGGGAAAATGCAACAAAGAGATACATATGTTTTGAAAAATTAAAAAACCATTCCTTTCAATTCAATAACATATAAGCAATTCCAAATGTAGAGGTTCATGAAAGAAAAATCAGTTAAACCCATGAATTTAAAAGGCAGCCTGACAGTTAAGTTAAATGAAGTCCTCTGTTTGAAATGCATGTTAAAGAATGACCAAATCCATAAAATTGAATGTTGCAACTGAACAACTCAGTTTATCTCTGGTTTTTGGAACGCGAGAATCCTGGTGTAAGTAGCTTGAGGCTTTTTTTAAGTGAATCAAAAGGAGAGCATCACAACAGGTTTCTTCTTCCCTTATATCAACTTCAAATATAAAGCTGACTTTCTACCCAGACACGTTGTAGACATTAGTGTAGTATTTTGAAAGTATAAGGTATAATTACTGTGATTCAAAGTAGTTGTGATTGAAAGGTATAAATTAAATTTTCCATGGTTCAGCTCTTTTGATCCAGTGATTTAATGAGGGGAACATTTAAAGCTTATCAACAAGTTTTTAATGTCAAATCTTGGAAAAATAATTATGCTACTTTGTTCTGCCTTAGCAGCAGCAGCCTGGCTTTATAATGCAGAATTTGTGATTTGTCCTCTGGACAAAGCTCACTGATGACAGAGTGCCTTGTCCTCAGGGGAGAAGCAGAATTCTGTGTATATAGCCATTGTGTATGCAGTCAGTCTGGAAAAGTTTGAGACAAAGCAAAAAATGTTTATTATTCTGTGGGCCATTTGCTCAAAGGTGGCAAGTCCAGTTTGGCTGCTGAATGATGTGCTGCAAGAAGCTGCAATCAGACTTATTTGACAGAGTAACAAGAGACAAAGCAGAACAGCAGTGAAGTGTGCAGATGCACTTCTGAAAGAAGTCATTGTGATGGAGCAAAATAAGAAAAAAGCCACTGAAGCCATCTTCATATTCAGGAGTGTCTGCTTTCATGTTTAAATAACATAGGTCTATTTAGAAACACTGGTATATCTTAGTTTTTCATTTGGGTTACTTTATTAGTATCTGTTTTGTATGATTGGATATATCAGAATGAGAGTCTCTGTCATGACTGATGAAGAATTACCCTTTTACTAGTGAGTGCTCCATTTTTGGTTGCAAAGGCAAACTAGACCCTTCTGTATGACTGATAATGAAATTTGTTTGTTTGTTTTGTTCACTATAAAATTGTGACTTGATACAAACGTGCTCCAAATTGATAACACAGTTTTGCTGCAAAAGATGTAATTGAAAATTTACACGCACTGCTTTACTCTTTTGAAGTTGTGTATCTTGTGCATTGGGGCCAGAGGGGGCAGCTGTTGGATGTTTGTGGGTTTTTCCACCTCTAAGCTTCATCTAAAAAATTGTCCTGGAGACTGCAAATCTCCATCAGACACAGAACTACCTGTGGCCTTACTGCACCATAAATAAATCAGAAAGGCAAATAAATTACAAAGCTTACTTTATTGGAAAGTGGTTTTCTCCCACAGTGAATAAAACTGGTGTATTTAATCTGGATTTATAGTCTAATACTGGTTTCAGAAGAAAAAGCACCACCATCACCCCACCTCAAAAAACCAGCACATACAACCTCAACCCAACTTGTCAGTAAGAGACAGATGTACAGCTTGGAGGACATTGAAGTTTATAGGAAGGTTTGACTCCTTTTTACCTGCCAGCCGTAAATTCTCTGTCATAAGTCTGATCTTCATAGCAGTTAATCAGACTGAAGTGAATGTCCCTAAAGGGCTATCATCATCTTATGACATCCATGTTTTCTCTCATGGAAATACTTTTCTTCTGTGTCATTTGTTCAGGCAAAACAGGAACTCCTGGTCTCAATATTGCCATCCAAAGGCAGCCATAAAAAATGTCTTTAGTTTCTTCAAGTGAATATATTTCTATATGCTATCAAGGCTGTCCCAAATTCCTGTAGCAAAAAGGATGAATAAAAGGTTAAGTTTGCTTAATCTCAATCTAGACAAAGATAGAATATTGTCTTGTAATTTTGGGGTTTCCAGTGCTGCCATTCAAACACCTCACCCTAAAAATCATAATGATAACTTTAGTGTTCAGAATTCTAAAAATGAACTAAAGGAAGTGTTTCATTAGAAACTTCTCATGGTTTGGGAATAATGATGCTCAGCAGGGAAGAGTAGAATGGTGTGGGGATCCCAAATTTTCCTATGATTTGTCTCAGACATCACCTTTGAAATCACAGTGTGTAAGGATTTGGGTGTACCTAATTTCCCTTCCATATAATTACCTGGATTCCATTTCTGTTGCTTTATGTGGGGGACAAGTACAATTGAAATTATGGTGTGTAGCCTGTAAATCCCCACACATGACAGTCTAAAATATTTGCAGTTTTAGGCTACAAATGTCTTCATTCAGACCCCATTAATTCTTGAAAACAATGTTACCAGGCTTGGTAGTGATTTTTAGGTAAAATTCATATCTCTTTTAGCAACACTTGTCATTCATTTTACACAGAACTGTAAGGTCACACGAGGTGTCTGGACTGCACTTCAGCTGGGGATGGAGATTCAAAGGACCTCATTCTTCTCCCCTGTGAGAAATCATGTTTGTTTAGGTTCATGTGGAGTTTGGGAAGCCTTAATTTTTTATTTGTCCATCTAAAACTGTGGTCATGTTTAATAATTCCTGACAGCTGCCTAGCACAATTTCAATGCCTGTGCCTAAATCTTAACAAGCACTAATTAAATCTGACCAACAAAATCCCCATTAATTTGCACACCCCACTCACCAGTAGATGGCCTTGGCCACAAAGCTATTGTGGCTGGGAAGTGACTGGCATTAATGAGAGTGTTAGCAGGGTAAAGAATAAAATGGAAGAAGCATTAAATGCTATTTAAATTATTTAGGCTTGTCTTACTGAAAATTCTTGGTATTTCTGTTGGCTTTCGTCCTGAGTCAACGATAGTGTCTTGTGTTCTCTCTGCAGTACCTGCCTATTTTAAAGTGGCAATTTGTCAGTGTTCTCAATATGGGGAAGATCTGTTGTATGTGTGAATTCACACAGGCACCTCAGTGCCTGACAGTAGGAAAGCTTATTTTTATATTCACATGTTAAAGTATGTTTATCATGTTGATTGTGGTTCCTTTCTCTCCTGTTCCAGCATTGCCTGATTACTTCAGGGGACACATTCAACTTTTTCCAGGGTTTAAGGCATGTTCAAACATGACCTTACCATCACTTCAGGTTCTATTTAGTTGTAAATGTTGTGTTTGTCACAGTAGCAATCATCTTCCTTCAAAACTTCACAGCTCCTGGGCGTTTTTTGTGTCCTGTGGTTAAACTTGATTTGTGTCCTGTGTGCTTCATTGGCTGCAGGTGGGGGCCTTTGAGATTCCTTGCAGGCTGTGGTCACATGATGGCTCACAGCCTAAAATAAGATGAGATACAAGTGTGTGTAGTGGGAAGTATTTTTAATTTTATTCTTCCCTCCTACATGGGTGTGATAGTTGATCTCTAAGTGCTGGACCACGTGTGGGTGCAGGAGGAGGTATTTAGCTGTTAAAAAAGAAGGTATTGCCTACATAGCCATGCTTTTGTTCTTCTAAGGGAAAGGCAGCTGGGGCAAATGGAATTGCACAGTGAGTCATAGGGGTTCCCCTCCTTGTCTTTTATCTTCATTTTCCATTGCTGAAGTGCTAGTCTTTTGGATTTTTACAGTCCTGCCAAATAGGATGCAGGTTAAGTAAGTCACTGTATATCTATGGCACCATTGAAAACACCCTGTTAATCACAATGCTTTCTGTCAGGTGTATTTTGTCTGATTTCAGTGATGTGTCCTTTTCCTAAAATATGATTCTCTTACTGGCGTTGGTAGGGAAATTGTCATGCATTTTAATGGGAGCAGACTGCAACTTTTTTGCTGCCTTTGAAGTTACTCCGTCAGAAATAGAGGGAAGCTAAAATTAGACATGCTGTAGCTTCTTGTGTGCCATTTCATCGCTCCTCTGGCTGTCACAGAACAAGGCTTTTGATAGTGAGCTTGGTACTGCAGTGCCAAGGGAGGCACTAAGAAAGGAGCAGGACAGCAAAGCAAAGTGCAGAGAAGATGGCATTTCACCAAGGATGCAGCCCTTTGCCTTAAGGACATGGGCTGTTTGGAAACAAGTGGTGATGTGCCTTGAATGTTCCTCTAAGCTATATTTTGCAGTTGACAGTAACCTTTTACATAAAAAGCTCTGCTTCTGCACAGGTTTGTGTGTGGAGAAGAAATCTGAGTTTCCGGGATTAGAGGTGAAGTCCCACCTTAAGTTTGCAGAGGTTTCATAGTCTGATTGGGAAGGCGTGGAAGAGGCTGCCTGGATAAATCAGAGCAGCTAACAGGCTGTTTCTGCCTTACACTAATTAGCAGCTGGCACATCCCTAGAAATTTGGAATGAGAAAGGGGAAGGGGAAGTGCCTTGATAATCTCTCTCTTCTGAACTTTCTGGAACCACTTGGCAAGAGCAGCATCCATAATGTAAGTCCCAGCTGCCAAGTCTGGGAGCAGAAGTTTCAGTGGTGCAATTAAGATGAAGTGGGTACCTTGTTACACCCCAGGATCTGTCAGAACGTTGGCTTCTGTGCTTGCTGGTGGTGTTAATGTTGTCTGAGGACCTTCATGCTTCTTATCTGCAGTACAGCCAAACAAGGTCATTACTTGTGATGTTATTTTTTGTAGTGTTCGTTTCATGAGAACTGATGAGTGTAAATAATGCTTTGGGGGATATTTTTATATACTTTCAGAGGGAACAGGATTGAGGGTCTGCAGTATAAAGTGACATACAAGCTACTGACAATGAATTCTTTTAGTCTAGAACCCATGTCTTGCAAGGTGTTGACTACTTAACAGGTGAAGATCTAATCACTGCTGGTGTGATTAGGGTGGAAGTTAAGTCATGGAAAGGTCTCCTTGGATTGGCAGCTGCCTGAAATCTCTCATTTCTGTATGCTCAAAGTACATATATTACTAAAATCTGTAATGAGCTTAGTCATGTACTTTGTCCTTTTTAATTATCAATGGGGTAATTGTCCCTTAGGTAGGTGTACCTCAGGCTCAGCTCCCTAGAGCAGAACCTTCAGAGCTGTTAGCCTGTTTCCTACATTTTTTCATTAAGTCACTCTTTTTTTTTTTTTTTGGTCTGAGATAAGAAGTGCTTTTCATAAGGTAGAACAATAGAGAAATTGCTGATCCTTTGGGTGTAGTGTGCCTCGTTGGTTGGTATAGGAATTCTTTGTGGACTTCTGCTTAGGTGTGTTCTCAGAAGGCATCATTCCTGTTGTTATAGTTCAGTCTCTGTGTGATTTCCATCTTTCTGTCCAGCCCTCTGTCTAAGAAAGTAGTAAAACATTTGTATGAGTACTTGGCAAGATGGCAGAATCATCTTGTCTTGAACTGTAAACTGTTAGATGGTGTACCTACTGAAAAGTTTCCGAAGCAAATCTACAGAATGTATGTTGAGTCTGAATTTGTATCAGCTGCATTAAACCAGTAATTATAAGAAAATCTTAGGCAGCAGGATTTCTTCTGTGAGTAAGGGGGGGCTTTTTCTGTTGTTCACATTGTTCTGTGGTGGGGTTTTTTTGTATTTTGGTTTTTTGTTCTATCCTAAACACCAGTTAGTCAAAGGAAAAAGAAAGTGTTCCATTGCTAAGAGATAGTATAGACATCTAAGGAAAAAGTGAGTTCTTTATCTGGGTGGTCATTTTTGCATATTTCATGTTCTACTTTCAGATTCTGTTTGGAAAGAAGTGGGGGTTTTTTAATGCCAAATTGGTAATGTTTGCTGACTTTCTCTGCTGCAGAGGCTGTTGCTTCCTGATGGAATCATTTGCATGAATTTTGCCCAGTTTTCTGCCAGTACAGCTTGTGCTGCAGGGTCTCCTGCAGCGTACAATTTAATCTCTTGCTTTCATTTCACTCAAGTATGTAGGTTTCAGCAGGGGCAGCTGGGTGAAGGTTAGTGCCTGCATTATACGGGAGATCTGCTTGAGTGATCCAATGGCTGCTTCTGGAAAAATCTGTGAAATTATAATAGCAGAAGTAGGGAGAGGAAGGGGATCAAAGGTGGGTGGTAATGTAAGATTTGTATAAAGAGGAAGCTGTATGTATTCTGTCTCTAGAGCAGAAGCTGTATCAGTCCTGAAATGAAAACAAGTTTAGCAAAACAGAAAATTCAGTGCTGTGTCTGGATGTTGTTCTCTCAGCTAAAAGGCCAAAAACTTCCCTCACAACTGAGGCAAGGAGAATTTCTTGTAGGATTCTGAGGTGGTGTCCTGGTTATCAGAAAGAAACAAAGTCTAGAGGACTTGCCTCAGTTTTGAGGGAGGTCTTCAGAACACTTTACATAGTGAAGACACGTGTGCTGAAGCCTTCATTTGCAAGAACCCGAGATTACTTCTCTCCAGCAGTAGTCAGTGCCTTCTCATGAGACTGTCTGATATGTTCAGTCTGCAGTCAAGTGGCCTTTGTGCTTTTCTACTTATTTACTGTCACACAACCCTCTTCTTTCCTAGCCTTCTGACAGATGAGTAGCTGGTGATACTCACAGATGCATTGATCCCATCTCAGAATCATTTGGTTGTCCTTCCTCAAAAATCTCGGTGTCTCTAATAGCCTGACCACACTGAGCACACTGCTGCAGATGACCCTGCTGTATTTATCGGGTGTTGGAATAATTTCCTCTAATTTCATACTTATATTTATGAATTTTCAAGCTTAATTTGCAGGATTTTATTTCTCCTGTTAAGCATAGTACCAGAGAGTTCTTGATGGTTCTCCCAAGCATTATTTTCTGACCATGTGTGTGACCATTAGGGATTTCTTTCCTTGTTTCATTTGGGTTTTTGTCTAATCACACACTGCCAATATAATGAAAAATATAGTCTGTTTTTTCCTTGTCTTTAACCTTGTGTGTTCCTAGTTTTTCTTTTATATTCAGTATCCTCTTCCCTTTCTTTCTTGTTCATTTTGCTTTCTTTATGGTGCATTATGTGATTATTTCTTTCATCCTGTGCCCAGAAAAAAGATAAAATCTGTGTTTCAAAGATTATGCCCAAAGCTACTTAAAGAAAAAAAAAAAAAGGTTTGCTGATTCAGACATTCAAAAAATGCCAGAGGAAGGCCAGCATTAGTTTCCTGTACTCAGATTTTCGTGAGCTCTTATCTTGCTGCCTGTCTGCATGTCTCTGCTGGGACAGGCACAGCTGTGTCCCTTGAAGTCAAGGCCTGTCTAGATGCAAGTGATTCTGAAAATTAACCAGTGTACATGTCACAGTGTGTGCCCCCTCCTACACACATCTCTAGTCATATTCTTATGTAAATCGATACCCAAACTCTCAACACAGTTTATTTGATACGTAAAATTTCTGTGTCCGGTTCAAGCACTAAAGCACTAATCCCGCCAATTGTTTGAGCACAAAAGACCTAATTGTTTGCTTTAGCTTCCCTGCTGCTTTACTAAGACAGTGCCCCTGTAACTTATATTTATATGATCTTTCCTTATTGCTTAAATTTTTCTTGAAGTTTCACTAGACATTTACTTAAAGAACCCTCCCTGTACCATTTGGGTGTAGAATGAGCTACAAAACAAAGAGGACTTTGAAAGGATTCATTTAGATACACAGTGTTGCTTGCTTGCTTCTTAGCTGGTTTGCTGGGCTTTGTGGTTTGTGAGAGCCGTTGTGGGGGAGTTTTGAATTGCTTTCTCATCTCTCTTAATTTCTTGTTTGCATTCACAACAGGCTGCCTGTTTTAGTAGTCTTCTATATTTCTCCCCAGTGGACTATATTTCCTGTTTTCTTTGTGAACAGCACCATATGTAATTGCTTTACCATTCTTGCTTTCTTCCTGAATGAATTGGGAACTATTTTGGAGCTTTTATCCAGATATACATCCCACTCCCAAGCGTATGAGCTCTCTGTGTTCCCAAGTTAGTACTGAATAAGACTGTTTTGAAATCCTCATATGCACTTTCACGTATTTTGTTTTCACTTGCCTGCATTTCTTTGTGAGCCTTGACAGCACCTTGCTGATGCCTCAGTGATCTGGAACACACAGGTATCTGAGGAAAGTGGCTTGATGCTGTCACTTTAGTTATTCTTAAGCTGGTAATCCTGATCATTAATGAAGACCACATCTAAATACGTGGTCTTTGTGGGTTTGCTCGTATTACTGTGTTTTATGTTTTGGTTTGGGTTTGCTGGTTGTGGCTTGTTTTCTTTTTTTCTTGGTTTGTTTTTTTTCTCCCCAAATGCTGCATCCAACTTAATGTTTCATAAAGCAAATCACTGAATAAATTTGTAACTTCTGTCATCAGGGCCTTCAATGCCTGAGGTGCTTCCTGTTTCATATTCGCAAGGCTGAAGTTGCACATAATTAAAATCCTGTCATTTCAGCATGAATTATTTTATTGAGTCATATTTTATTCACATGTCTTTTCTCTTTCAAGGTTCTCTCTGGTATGCATCAAACACTTGCACGTTAGTCCTACAGTCTGCTGTAACAGCTTAGCTTGGATTAATTTCTTATGCTTGTTAGTTTGTGAAACAGCTCTGGGTTTGAGTTTCAGCTTCTGCGTTTTCCACACTTCATTTTCTCTTCTGATTTTTTTCTTTCCCCTAGAAATTGTCCAGAAAGATTGTATTTTCAGGGGGTATTTGAATGTCTGACCCTAAATGCAGAACAAAGTTCCCAAAAAAGAATACACTGTATGTGTTTAGGAGATTTAAATGAAGCATGGTTAATATGACTTCTTTGAATAGCTTTTTATAATTCAATCACATTATTCTCAGTGCCATCGTCCATCCTAGTATTCTTAATGGTTATTTTACCAATGCAAACAAGAGCAATACCAAACAAATATAGAAGAAAAGTCACTTTGGAAATAAAAGTATTGTCCTCACTGTTGAGAGATAGGGATTTGTCATTCATCCTGTTTTGTTTTGGCTTCTCAGGCAAGAGCAGACTGTGCTCCGTGGAGTTTCTTCAGGCATTGTGCAAGCTACTGCACAGTTAGTGTTATACTGAAATGGGTCTGCCAGAACTCTTAAACCATTCACTGTAAAGGTTTTTAAATAAAAGGTACCAAAGTAAGGCCCCACATGGTATGAGGCATAAACACTTTAAAGAGGTCAGAAAGCATGTGTAAATACAAGACATGATGGCTAAATAGTCCTGGTGTTTAAAATACTGTCTTAATTTTGCTCATCTTCCTTATGCTTAGTTCTCAGATGTAATGAAATTCCTAAAGAACAATTGTCTTTTTTGCTTGCTATACAGGTTTGTTTTCCTAGGTATATGGCTGCTTAACCAGCTCACAGCAAATAGTTTAACAGTGCATGTCATGCCCTAACTCCTTAGTGTATTTGTGGTGAGGATAAGGTACAGAAACCTATACCACTCCTAAAAAGGTGTTGTGTTCGTAGAGAACACAAAAGAACGTTAACAGAAATGTTAATGTATGTCTGCCCTGTAAGCCAGCCATTGTAACTGATCTTTTTACACCACTGAGAAATGAAAAACCTGTTTTTCATGCAGCTTCCAGAGCATTTTATTCAGTATGTTCATTTACGGATGGAAATGGGGTTCCACTATGCAGGTTTGCTTGCTGAGCCAATGGGAGAATGCAGTTCTCCAGTCTCAGCCTAGTGCAGTTTCTGTTGGGTCAAGTCTACCTCCAGTATTTGTGTTTCATTAGCATGTGCTTTTAAAACATGCATTTTGCTTGTTTGAGACTTGATGGCTCTGTTTCCGAAGACCTGCTTACCTAGGGTTTCCCAGTGACTTCGGCAGTGCAACTGCCTGATACCATTCACTGAAGTCAGCTCGCATAAGACATGACTCAAAACTTATTCAGCCTTGTAAATGACTGCCTTTGAATTCAGCATGATTCAGAATAAGCTGCAATTCACTGAGGAGCCTGGGCACCCAACAAGGTAAGGTGTTGCTGAGTGTACTAACTCCAGTCCTACCAAATATTCTATGGAAGCACCATGGATTACATAGTTTCGCTCTTGCTTTTTGAGTTGTGTGTATTTCTAGGAATTTTTGGTTTTTCGGTTGTTTAGCGTTTGGTTTATTGTTTGCTTGGGTTTTTTGAGTCAAAATTATTACTCAAAAATGTATTTTATAAATCTGAGCCTCATTTTCTCAGTTTGATAAGTTTTCTTAAAAACTTCTTGAAAAATGTTTTAGGGTCTTACTGTCCATGTGGCTTTGTCTCAGAAGAGGAGCAGTGACTTTCATCTTTTCACTGAGTACAGTCCAAGCCCAGTTTTGTATGAAACTAGGCCTGTTCTACTCTGGCGTGGCCTTGGAGCAGTAAAATAGTCTCTGTGGTGTTATGTAGGGGACAGCCTAGAACCAAGCTGTACACACAGTCCAGAGCTGTATGCTGCTTTCCTCAGAGCAGTGGAGCTCTCGGAGCCAGCTCTCTCCATGGACCAGATTGCCCAGTGTTTGTGCTTCAGATACTTCCCTGACCAGTACACCAGAGTGAAGCTTCCTGTTCTAATGTTGATTTAAGACTTGAGTATCAGTGGCTTATTTTTCTACATTATAATTCTCTGTCCTATTTAACAGTCCTCTGGGATATGCATAGGGTCAAAGTCAGACCTCCCTGGCAGTCAAAAGGAGGGGAGGGGAAGAGCATATGAAGGACATTGATGGAAAGAAGCAGAGCTTGAATTGCAGTGCAACATATAGAGAATTTTGGTTCAGCAATCAAGTTGTGTGCTGTACTCCTTACCAAAATAGAAGAAACACAGCACTCGTTCTCTTGAAAGCTCTCTCCTACAGGAATTTGTTAGATTACTTTAAGCTTCATATTATTTTAAGTTCTGACCCAGACTTCTCATTAACTGTTTCCAAAACACTAGAAAAGGAAAGTAGAAGTACTTCCTGCTTCATGTATCTCTCTGGTTAACAGCTGTGCCTCTTAGAGGAAAGAGAAAATAGCCAGTGGTGATAAAAAGTCACCCTGCTCACCCTTATGAGTAAGGAGTATTGCTGCATCCTCCTCAGGATCCTCATGTAGCAGATGTCACCAAATTGCCTTTAAGTGCTCCATCCTGCAAACAATTTAATTGTGGGCAGAAAAAGGTTCACTCATCTCCTTTCTCCCCTTTGGCTGCCTATTCCTTCTGTTAAGTCTTGGCTGTTTTTAATTTTTAAAAAACTGTCCTAGACTGGGCTCCTGCAGGAGTGCAGATGCTCAGAAGTTATTGGGTTCTTTGCTCAGGTATTGGCCTGGTACAGCAGTCCTGAGCTTTGTGGAAGTGTGAGGAACCATTTATATTCTGTCTCTGCGTGTGGTCAGCCCTGCAATACTGGATTGCAGGGTTGTGCCTTCTCTCAGCAGCAGTTCTCCCTTGTGGAGCCTGCTGTCTGCAGTTGAACCAGTGCTGGGGCAGCCTCCTGTCCCCAAATGAATCTCATTGCATCAGACCATCATCTGCATAGCTGTTGGTGTCCTGGTGTTACCTGCTCCTCTTCCCCCTTAGTCTTTTGTGTTTGTTCCAGTCCAATATTTCTGAATAAAAGCAGTCAAAAATGACAGCAGTGCCTTAATATTTGTAAAATGAACTAAACTCTGTGATCTGACTGCTTTTGGTTTGTTTTATTCTGGCTTTCTGAATTTATATGCTCATCAAAGACACGTTTTTGGAAGCTTTGCTGTGTGATGTTGAAGACAAGGAGTGTGTATCTTCCAGTGCCATCAAGACTGTCCCCAGTTCACGTGCTTGTGTGAAATGGGGGTTTAGGATCACATGAGGCCTGATAACAATCACAGGAGTCAATAACAGTGCTTACTCATGTTTGCAGATGGGGTTGATACACAAGCATGAGCCAGTTGAGCAGCCCTGCCTGTGAAAACAAAACAAAAAAGAGTCCTTAGATCTCTTCATCTGTATGATGGCATTTGAGATTCTCTTTTCCTAAGTGGCACAGACATTACTTTAAGGAGTCAATGACTTTCTTGTCCAAACGGTACTTTGTAAGGCAAAGCCATCTAAATGCAGTTCTGCTAGTTGCTGTCTCCTAAGGCTTAAACTTGTCCACCTTTTCTGGTTAAGGGAAATAATACAATACTGCAAGTAGTTTACTCTGTGTGCATTCTTCAGTCCTACTTAGGAAGGCAAAGCATTTCTAATGCTCCCAGCCTAGGAGAATTTTAGTGCACTGGGAACACAGACAGACAGTCTCTCAGTATTCCCTTTCAGTATATATTTACATATACAACTATTAACAGATCTCCCCACTATTTACTAAAACTACATCATCCATAAGGCAAGGCCAGAATTCATAGCAGTCCCTTGGGTGTAAGCAAGATCAGCACCCAGTCATTACTTTTTCTGATAGGAAGCTCGGAGTGCAGAAAGGTGTTCTTGTATGGCAGACTGTTCCTCATAATGTTTGACGTGTGTCTAAGTGAAAAAAGGATTACTTTGTATTTAAATTACCCAGTTTGTATTCCCCTAGCTAGAACATTACAGAAGTAGGCTACACAATGAAACTGGATCACTTTTATTTGATGAACAGGAAATCCTCTTGACCTCAGTTCCTGCCTCAGAATATAATCTGCATGCTTTACCTCTGCTCATATGTGTATATATGCTTCCATGCATCTGTGGAAGGTTGGAGGAATTAACAAGTAATTATAGGGGAATTTTTAAGAATAAATTCCTAACCCTCAGCCTGTCTGTTACCTGGGATTTGTTAGTGCTTCTAGAGATTTGACTGAGAGAGCCAGGCCCCAAACTGAAAAGCTGTATTTAGAATAGCTTAAGGTAACTGGGATCGGTTGTTAAGGATGTTATTATTGGTTAACATTGACTGCTAGAAGATCTGTAAGGGGGTTATCTCCATGACCATAAAGCTGTGCTCCTGACTGCCTCAGTAAGTAAACATCCCTCTGTGGAGGTCCATCTGCCAGGGTTTTAGTTACAATTGAACTTTTCAGTTGGTAAATCTGTCTGGTGTCTCACTTCAAAAGCCATCTTAACCTCTTTATTCCTTAAAAAAATAAAACCTAGTTTCTACAAGGCAGCCACAGGGGTTTTTTTGTGGATACTAATTACCTGGACTTTATCCATGGAAGGTGCTTTGGGGTAGGATGTTGCAGAGAAGCAGTGGATGGAAGTGTTGGTTTGAAGCTGTCAGTCCGTTGCAGTCCGAGGCTCGAGATGTGAGGTTTCAAGCTGTGCAAAACCCAGACTCTCTCCTGAACTCCCTACCAGCTGGGCTTATCTAGTCTGTAGTAAAGGGGGTCAGAACAGCCGTGGTGCATCTCTGCTCCCTGAAGTGACTGTGCTTCATTCACATGATGAGGCAGCAGAGGAAAGGAATGGAGCAATAGTGTTTCAGGGAAACTCATTTGTGCCAGGGAACCTTTCCTGGGAAA